ATGAGGCTTTCTGCTCCTGTAAAGATTTGCAGCCTCAGAAACCCTGTTTAGGGTCACTGTAAGTCAGGACCAACTCCACAGTACTTAACAACAACAAGTGTGTATATATATATTTTGTTGTTGTTTGTTTGTTTTTTACTTTAACCTACTTTCTGTAGGTTTTAAATGCACAATACCCAGGAAGAAAGAACAAAATAGGCCTATCACCATCTGATAGACTGCTGATGTGGTGTGTAGATGAGCCACTGGACTGCTAACCACAAGGTCATTGGTTTAAACCCACCAGCCACTCCTCAGAAACCCTATACAGGGTCGCTATGAGTCAGAACCGACTCCACAGCATTTAAAACAGCAGCATTACCAACAGATACAAGGTCTTATACTGAAAAGAACTCTAGCTCCAGGCTTCCTCATTAGAATTGATTTAAACAAGGGAGCAGTCTGGATCCAGTGCTCCCCTAACAGCTTCAACCAAATGAAGCCAAGAGAGTGGGGTCCCCTGGAGCAGAACATGACAGCTGTCCTCAGAACGACTTTGTAAGACCAGTTGTTTCTTTTAGGACTCCATTATGTCAGACACTCCATTCACAATTGATCAGCTTCTGGACTACTCAGTAAGGAAAGAACTGAGACCAATTTTAAATGGAATTTTCAAAATAGTATTTTTCCAAAACAGTGGACTATATTTTAACAATTTAAATTTTCATGATTTTTCAGAGAATACATAAAAACCTTCATATTTTTATGACCATGAGCCCTGCAGAGCCTAACTTTCGCCAAAGTTGTAGAACATACCCTTCTATGATTAGCTCCTGCACAATCAATTGGTATGAGAAGTGGCCAGAAGAAGCTCTCCTTGTGGTAGCCAATTCTTTCTTAACAGAAAAGGTGAATTTGGAGAAAAGAAAGGTAAATATAACCTCTGTTGAAAAGTCTCATGCAAGTGAAGCTGTCAATTTATTAACAGCTTCTGACAGCATTTTGTCTGTGACTAACAGTGACCTCTAGATTAAAGAAATAGGTAGCCCTCCATCCTGGCATGGTGCTGTAGCATCAGCACTAGACTGCAAACCACAAGGTCAGCAGTTCAAACCCACCAGCAGCTCCTTGGAAACCCTACACATGGTTGCTATGAGTCAGAACCAATTTGACAGCACTTAACAATAACAACAAGCCAAATTAAGGAGCCTTTCTGGGGAGCAAATGGTTAAGCACTTAGCTAATAGGCTAAAGGTTGTCAGTTTGAACCCGCTGAGGTGCTTTAGACAGGCCTGGTCACAGCTTTGAAAGCTAATGTAGCAGTACACATGGGATCACTATGAGTCAACATCGACTCAGTAGTAACTATCAGCAATGGGTCCAATTATATAACAGGTCAAGCATTTGCCTTGACTACTTAGTGTTTTCTGTGACTTCCCTTCTCTTTAGTCCCTTAACACTCTGTTTCAAAGGTGCCCAGTTTCATCACTGCCCTTACATTTTCTATTTTACTTTTAGTTTTTACATATGTGGGGGCTTTAAAAGGCGCATGGAAATAGAATAAAAAGACAATGGCCCCTCACTTCCTTGAGTATCTTGCTGTTAAAGATGTAAGATAAAGATAACCATCAGCTATTGACCCTGGTGTCCTAAATCCTTGGAAGTCTGGTGCAGAAAGAAGGAGAGAGCCTGGGAAAATGGCATGTCATTAATCATTAGCCACATTATTTCCTCTTCCACCCCACCACCACCCCAAGCATATATATTCATGGTTCAGTTCACCGAGTACCTTTCTATACATTTCCACCTCTCAGAAATGATGAGCTATTTCAAGTTACAATGTTTTATTTTCTCTTTTTTTTAATGTATATTTAGATTGCTTTCTCTTAATTCTTAAAAAAAGTATTGTTTTTCAGAATTTAATTGAAAAACTTGCCCCAACATGTGTCCAAATCCACAAAAGTATTACAGACTTGAGCATAAAGTTCTTTCAGGAAACTAGAAGACATTATTATATCACTCCCAGGAGCTACTTGCAATTCATGGATACATTTGCACGTATTTTGAAGTCACGAGAGAAAGAGACGCAAATGAAGAGGTCAGTCTTTGAAATCAAATTTTAAAATATATTTTACATTGATGTTTTATTTGTAAAAAGGGACACATATACAAATATAAAACAATGTGCGCAAATCTGCATTTTCAGTGGCAGAAAAGGCCAAAAGCTGCAGAAGACCATTGAAGAGATAAGGTAGTTATCTCCCCTGGTGTATCCACAGGCTGGCCTCTTTACAGGCAAAGCAGACACATTCAGCCATAAAGACAATAATGAAACCTTATTAGTTACGGAAAGTTTATTGCATTACATAGACTATGAAAACAAGAGTGCCAATGGTGCCTGATCCCCATGTTTCTGTCCCATGGATGACACCAACACAGATAGTGGACACCCTGTTGCTGAAAATACCATGCTTCAGCTAAGCAGCTTTATAGCCTGCAGCTATTCTCTAAATATTGAGTAGATAATATAAGACAAAAAAACTCATACCTAATCAGAACCAGGGAGAATGTGAGAAACTATCCCATGACAGCCTCCTAGGACGATAGGGACATGAATGGGAAATGGTCCCATAGCATCTGCTCACAAGTGTCCTGTGCTCTCGTGTTCTGGGAGGATCGCAGGGTGTTCTGCCAAGAATTTGGTCAGTTCCAGTTTAAGCCTTTCCTAGGAGAACTATGAGGGCAAGGTCACCAGGGCTCCATGGAAGAGCTATTCCTCTACTATTCCAACCCCTGATTTTTTCACGTAATCCAACTATGAATTCTTTTTAAAAAAATATTGGCCACTCCATTAGATAACCTAAATAATTGTTAGGGGGCTTATATAGTTATTGTTGTTGTTAGGTGCCATCAAGTCAGCCCTCACTCATAGTTGTTGCTGTTGTTAATTGCTGCTGAGTCGGTTCCAACTCATAGCAACCCTGCGCCGTCCTGTTCAATCCTCAAAATTGTTGTTATATTTGGTCCAATGGTTGCAGTCACTGTGTCAGTCCATCTCATTAAGAGTCTTCCTCTTTTCCACCAGCCCTCTACTTTACCAAGTATGATATCCTTTTCCAGGAACTGGTCCCTCCTGACATGTCCAGTATGTGAGACAAAGTTTGGCCATCCTCGCTTCTAAGGAGCATATGGCTGTACTTCTTCCAAGACAGATTTGTTTGTTCTTCTGGCTGTCCATGGTACTTTCAGTATTCTTCACCGACACCATAATTCAAATGCATAAATTATTTTTTGGTCTTCCTTATTCATTGTCCAGCTCTCACATACATATGAGGCTACTGAAAATACCATGGCTTGGGGAAGATGCACCTTAGTCCTCAAAGTGATATCTTTGCTCTTTTACACTTTAAAGAAATCTTTTGCAGTAGATTTGCCCAATGCAATGCATCCTATAATTTCTTGACTGCTGCTTCCATGAGCATTGATTGTGGATCCAAGAAAAATGAAATCCTTGTAACTTCAACCTTTTCTCCATTTATCATGATGTTGTCTATCGGCCCAGTTGTGAGAATTTTGTTTTCTTTATAATGAGCTGTAATCTGTACTGTAGACCGTATTCTTTGATCTTCATCAGTAAGTGTTTCAAGTTCTCTTCTCTTTCAGCAAGCAAGATTCTGTCATCTGCATATTGCAGGTTGTTAACAGGCCTGCCTTCAATCCTGATGCCACATTCTTCTTCATATAGTCCAATTTAGCAGATTATTCGCTCATCATACAAAATGAATTTAAGTCTGGTGAAAGGATACAACCTTGGTGCATACCTTTCTTCATTTTAAACATACAGTATCCACTTGTTCTTTTGGAACAACTGCCTCTTAGTCTATGCATAGGTCAGTATTATGGACTATCCATTCTTTGTAATGTTATCCATAGTTATTATGATCCACACAGCTGAATGCCTTTGTATAGTCAATAAAACACCAGTAAACATCTTTCTGGTAGTCTCTGCTTTCAGCCAAGACCCATCTGACCTCAAAGATGACATCCTTCCTTCCATGTCCTCTTCTGAATCCAGTTTTAATTTCTGACAACTTTCTGTTACTGTACTGCTGCAACCACTTTTTGAAGTATCTTCCTCACACTTTTATTTGCATGTGATATTAATTATACTGTTCAATAATTTCCACATTCTTTTATGTCAAATTTCCACAAATATGGATCTCCTCCAGTTGGTTGGCCAACTAACTGTCTTTTTAATTTCTTGGCATAGACTAGTAAGTGTTTCCAGCACGGCATCAGTTTGCTGAAACATTGAAATTGGTATTCCATCAATTCCTGGAGACTTGTTTCACATCAATACCTCCAGTGCAGCTTGGAGTTCTTCCTTCAGTAGCATCAGTTCATGATCATATGGTACTACCTGAAATGGCTGAACGTCAACCAATTCATTATGGTATGGTGACTCTGTGTACTCACCAAAATCCTCTGCTGATGCTTCTTGTATCATTCAATATTTTGTCCAGGGGATTCTTCAGTATTGCAATTCAAGTCTTAATTTATTTTTTATTTTTTATTTTTTTCAGTTCTTTCGGCTTGAGAAATGCTAAGTATGTTCTTCCCTATTGGTTTTCTAATTCTTGGTCTTTATACATTTTATTATAATGCTTGACTTTGTCTTCTTGAACTGTCCTTTAAAATTTTTCAGTTCAGCTCTTTTATTTCATTATTTCTTCCGTTTGCTATAGATACTCTATGTTCAAAAGCAAGTTCCAGTCTCCTCTGATATTCACTTTGGTCTTTTCTTTCTTCCCTGTCTTTTTAATGACCTCTTTGCTTTCTTTATATATGATGTTCTTGATGTCATCCCACAACTTCTCTGGGCTTCCATCATTAGTGTTCAGTGATTTAAACCTCTTCTTGAGATGGTCTCTAAATTCAGGTGGGATATACTCAAAGTTGTATTTTGGGTCTCATGGACGTGTTTTAATTTTTGTCAACTTCAACCTGAACTTGCTTATAAGCAATTGATGACCTGTCCCACAGTAGGCTCCTGGTCTGGTTGATAATATTGAGTTTCTCCTTCATCTTTTCCCACAGATGTAGCCAATTTGATTCTTGTGTATTCCATCTGGTGAGGTCCAGGTATGTAGTTGCTGTGTATGTTGTTGAAAAAAAGGTATTTGCAATGACTGAGTCACTGGTCCTGCAAAATCCCATCATATGGATATTTTCCAACTACTCAAACCTCCTTCTTGTTTCCTACTTTCACATTCCAATCACCAGTAATTATCAATGCATCTTGATCACATGTTTGATGAGCTCCAGGCTGAGGAAGTTAGTAGAATTCTGCAATTTCTTCATCACTGGCTTTGGAAATTGACTGTGATTATTTGAAGAATAATTGTACTAACTCTTATTCTTTAAAGGCATATCGATATTATCCTATCACTGACAGCATTGTACTTAAAGATAAATCTTGAAATGTTCTTTTTGAAGATGAATGTGGTATTATTCTTGAATCTGTAATTCCCTATATAGTAAATCATAGGATTGTTTGATTCAAAATGGTTAATATCTGACAATTTCAGCTTACCATAATCTAGGATACTGATCTTTATGCATTTATTTCATCTTTTAATAACTTCCAAAGTAGATTATTACTTTGTATATTCCACATTCTGATTATTGATGGACTTTTGCAGCTGTTTCTTTTTGTTTTGAGTTCTGCCTCCTTAGCACATGAAGGTCCTGAAAGCTTTGCTCCATTCATGTCTTTATGGTCATCTCCACTGGGAGGAGGCAGTTCTTCCTCAGTCATATTTTGAGTGTCTTCCAACCTGAAGGCCTCATCTTTTGGTACTATATCTGATAATGTTTTGCTGTTATTCATAAAGTTTTCATGAGCTAATCCCTCAGAAGTAGACTGTCTATTACTTCTTCATAGTCTGCTCTTAATATACAAGCTCCACTAAAACCTGTTCACCATGGGTACCCTGCTGTTATTTGAAACACCAGTGGTATCTCTTCCAGCAGCACAGCAACTATGACAAACTGACAGACATGTGGGGAGAAGTTTAGACTAAATCTGTTCTTAGGCAACATTGGATGAGTATGACCATGACTATGACTCACTGGATGATTGGCCCAATGGAAAGATAGATCATAGTAGGCTCCCTATATCGAGCCAACTCAAGTTTAAAATGTCATTAATCCAGGCACCCCAAGAAGTGTAGGCAATCATGCATACTGCACCTCAACTGACCGACAGGAATCCAGGGAAATGCAATTTTTCATCACCATTCAGTCTAGAAAGTTTAGATTTGTTTATGTGTAGCAGGTAAGTATAAGCCTGTTTACATAAGAAGTAGTAGAAACCTTGACAGCAGCAGCATTTTGCTAATGTGGGATCAAGGTCTAATTTTATTAAGTTTTTGTTAATAAAATCATGTGCATTCACTATCATTTAGAGAAATTGTTATAGTCTGCTGCTATATAGTTTAATATAATGAGGTCAAAGGTAATCATACTCATGTTCAGAAAGTTAATCTTGTTTTATTATCTTAAGTACAGGCTACTTGGAGTAAGCTACTTTCCATGGAAGGTCTCTGAGAATTCTTACATTATGTTTTTGTTAAATTGGTAGTAATCTGGTTTAATTGGCCAGATGCCCTGCAGACAAAATTCTCTCTCCTTCAAACCCTAACTTCCCAAAAGTTAAGGTATTTCTTCCCACTAGCTGGGATTGTTGCTCTCCATTCACTGTCATGTGAGGTATGACCAGTACCTGTGACAATCACTTGTTCAGTCTTCTTCATATCTTACCCATATCAGACGCCCAGACTTATCCCTGGTGGCTCAGTTATATGCCTTGTACCATCCTAGAGTATCTTCTCCCTCCTAATGTGTTGGCCATACCAAGACCACCTTAAGGTTTGTCACCTTACATGCATGATCATTATCATCAATATCCACTACTGCCCATATCCAGCAAGTATAGCGAGGTGACAAAAGAAGTACCAGGTTAGAGTCTCCCACGTTCCAATTCTTCTTTGCTACTTAAAAGTTCCAGAAGCCCAGTTTCCTAGGAGTACACTTGCA